CCAAGCATCCAGCTGGGGAACGTAAACATTCTGTAAAACATGGCTCTTTGGATTATTTTCTGATTTGAACTCACTGAAATGTTCAACAGAACTTACAAACTTCCTAAATGACATCATTTTCCAAGGGTAATGTAATCTGATGACAGTGGTATAAGTTGCTTGCTTGAGTCAAACCTGCAAAGTTCATATGCAGGCTAACGAATGTTACACGAAAGTAATTATGTTTAACAAGTTACTTGCAATATGTAATTATGTTTCAGGGCCCCATTCCACAAGTGAGAGTTTAGTTTTACGCCGCACTCAGCTGTATTCCAGCTATATGGCAGCAGTCATTAAAAAAATCGAGCCTGTAGCAGACAAACCAGTGATCAACAGCATGAGCTTCTTAGGACAAGCATGGGTTACTGAAGATCAATTGTTACCTTGATCTTCATGAGTTAACCTTGATTCTCCATTCTTGATTCAATGTCCAATGAGTGAGTGAGCATGGTTTTACTCCGCTCTTTGCAATATTCTGGCAATATCATGGTTGGGACACCAGAAATTGGCTCCACACATTGAACCCATGTGGGAATCGAACCTGGCTCATGACCATGACGATTGGACGCTTTAACCATAAGGCTTCACCACCGCCCAGATTCAATGTTCAAGTATTGTAATTGCAATTACCTCAGCATGAAGACCACACTTTGGAAAAGGGTCCAGTATTTTCTAAACTGAATGTATGTGTGTCATTTAGCATGATCTGAACCCCATTTCAAGCATGAATCACTATACTGTTAAGACTTGGACAAGATTGTGATGGGACTGTAGCTCACCTGCATACACAGTCATCATTTTAAAAAAGTCTCAAAAGACAGCAATTATACAAATTCAGTAAACGCTGAAATGAAACTATTTTCTACATATCGGTAAATATTGAGGAAAAAACCCAACAACTTATGAATTGAAGAAATTGGATGTGATCAAGAAATATACAAGCCAGAGTGCACCTTCTTCAGTCATACAATTTCAAACAACATATATCATATTTGAGATTACACTTTCTCAGAAAGATACAGATTCTAGGCCCTTTTTGGATTGAGTACTAGTACTAGAATCTGTACTTTACGGAGAAAGTGTAATCCCAACTATAACATATGTGAATTTGATCACTTCTAAATGATATTGTATATTCATAGCTTTAGCACTCGCAGCTATGCCAATTTACACTTATCAGAGGGATACACAAAGTATGTGATCTAGACTACCATTTGTCAGACTTCCGTTTTTGTGAAAGCCACTGAAGCTAGATGTCTGACTAAGGTGCCTTACTCTGAGCGTGTGGGTTCGAAACCTGCATGGGTCTGAACCTAAAAAAGTCCTAGAATCTGTACTTGTAATCAGTGTGCGAAATAGTTTCAAAATTTTAATAGCCAGATAGGTTAGCAATGCCTGAAAGTTACTAGCCCACAAAATTATTCACTGGCCCAAAATTTGAATGTCGACATAGGTTTCATCATTAAGCTGCTAATATGATGAATATTTTTATCAGGCCATAATCTTGCATGATTTAAAAGTGTATTATAACTTAACAAGTCAGAGAGAGTGATTTACATGTATTTACAAAATGACCCCATGAAAACCACTAGCCATTCGGGCCAATGACTGTGGAGATTTAGTGGCCCGACTGGATTTTTACTAGCCACGGGCTAGCGGGCCAGTGGCTATTTAGAACAGTGCTTGTAATCCCAAATGTAACATATGTTGGACCTGAACAATTTCTAAATGGCAGTGTGTATTCAATTTCAAAGAAAAATGCATCTGAACATAACACAAAAGCAAGGTCATTAAAAGGTCCAAATTTAAAAAAATGATGTCACAGGAAAACGTCAGAAATCCCATTGTTCATTAATGAAATAGCATACTTTATTCCATTTTACACAATAATGGCCAAGTAATGGCTATTACGTCAGAATGGATTACATCTGAAATCCCATTGTTCATTAATGAAATAGCACACTTTATTCCATTTTACACAATAATGGCTGAGTAATGGCCATTACAGTAATAGTTTTTTTCAATGAGTGAGTGAGTGAGTTTGGTTTTACGCCACTTTTAGCAATATTCCAGCAATATCACAGCGGGGGACACCAGAAATGGGCTTCACATATTGTATCCATTTTTTCAATGAGACTGCAGTGGCTACCATACTGAAAATCAGATTGCTGTCTTCCAATTGTTAAAAAGGCCACTGGATTTTCAACTCGAAAATCTGTGGACAAGAAGTGCATATCCATTCATTTTTCAATTCACCCATCCAGACAGGATACCCAAACATGATTCATCTCAGTCGAAATTTCCCCTATCATCTCAACAGACTCAGGATGGTTAAGTCAAATATCAACAATGATCACAAGCATTCACATACAGTGATGAAATTCTATTAATATTACAAAGAACAGCAGTATCCTGTTATCAGCAGGATACGTGAAGCCTCTCTGCACTACGTCACCGACAAATGCACACAAACACAGCCCTGGGACATACACACGGGTATCGGCTGGTGGACCATCATGCCGCAAGTAAACACAACTGAAGTGTTAAAAGGGTACCTTTGCTTCATCTGCTTATCATGTTGGAGAAGAAAGGGTGAGGGTTCTCAGTCTGTTTATCTAATATTCCATCATTATCGGAAATGAAAACATTACAAATCATAAGCAGAACAGATTTTACACCTCCTGGGCAAAATGCAGACAACATGGCTAACTCTACAAATATTAGATTATTTTGTTTTGGAAGCACTAATTCAATTTGTGAGTGAAGGGAAACAGTTTTGTTTGTGTTTTGTTTGATTGTAGATTACTGCCGAGCTCAGCAATATTAAAGCTACATGTCAGCGTTCTGTTTAATAATTGAGTCTGGACCAGACAATCCAGTGATCAACAGTATTCAGACATGCACCTATACCAAGACAATGGCAAGACGGAATTGCACTGAACCAGTGACCATCGGAAGAGGGAGGAAGGATAAAGAAGATTGTATTTATATTTCTTGGTTATTTCTGCTGCTGTAGTTAAGTGACACTGCAAACAGCCAAGGATGAGGTTCCACGGGGGGAAAAGACCAGACCCCCTTGTCACAGCACGCTGCTCAGGTAGTACAGGCTTACCACATGTCATATTGTACTTGGCAAGTTCTCATAGTGCACTAGAGCAGTTTACTGGTTCTGAAAGAGACTTGGGAGTTATAGAGTTATATCAGTAGTGTTATACAATGCTGAGGTGAGGTGAAATTATACTGACTCTGAGCTGACCAGTCCTAGTTGTACCCATTAATGCTGAGTGCCAGGCAGGGACCAACAAGTACCATATTTTAACGTATTTTGGTATGACGATGTATCAAACTGTCAGGATGGTTTTAGTGAAGTTTTATTGCTGGGGGGGTCATTTCCAACATTTCTATCAATACCTTCTTTCATACCTCACTCCTGAGGTTCATGCATGCTGATTACATCTAAATATTGTGTTTTTTTCATGCCCATTTAGGGACAAAGGAGGTTAAGTTGTAAACAATCTTGTAATATTCTTCAAACACCCATTTGATTCTTCCTAAACCATAGTTCCATCATTTCAACAGACAGTGTGAGGGAACAGCCATTGAAACATTACTGACAAATGTCTGTAGAGAAGATGGTAGCCATTTCCCACCAGTCTTCAGCTGATAAAACATTAACATGTGAATGATTTTAGGTGTGCTTCAGAGAAAAGGATAAAACATGACAACTTTATTATAGACATAAGGTTATAGGTTTCGGAGTCACTTTAGACAAAAGCAGTTACCAATAGATGTGACTTTTGCTCTAACAGCAATGTGACCTTCATGTCACAGTGAGAGCATTTACGGAATGACCTCAATGTCATAGCATTTGATGGCAATATGACATTAATTTGAAGTCACGTTCACACCGAGATAAAAAGCAATTCAAGTAAAAAAACAACCTTGCAGGTAATGAAGGATATGTGACCTTTCTGTCACAGCAACATGACCTCAATGTCACAGCAAGATCACAGAAGTATGTAAATGAAACAGAATCATCACCATGATAATCAGTTTCTGTCACACCAAAGAGACAGATATTGATATTGTGTCACCTTAGGTGACTGGGCCACCTGAGACCTGTCTGCAAAGTGACAAATAGCATGGAGTACACAAAGCACATAAAACAGGCAGTACTGATGCCACCAACATTGGATCTCATGAACTAGACTTCACAAGGGAAGCATAGCTTCTCCCTATTTTGCATTTCAGGAAAGGAATCTGTTTCAGTGGATGATTGAGACTGGCAATTCTCAGGCATTGATGTTAAAATTTACTTGAACGTGGTTGATGTTCCTGCAGATGGATTCTGTGAAGTCCCCTAGTTTCATAATAACCTCAGAAGCATCTATCAATCATATCAATGATTAAAACAAACAATAGTTTCTTCAGATAAGAGTACATAACTTTCTGTGGAGCTAAGCATGATGAAGTCCTGAAACCTGTTTAACAAAGTGATCATAAATCCAATACCTTAATGTGGACTTACAAAACCACAGTAGAGTGAGTGAGTGAGTGAGTGAGTGAGTGAGTGAGTGAGTGAGTGAGTGAGTGAGTGAGTGAGTGAGTGAGTGAGTGAGTGAGTGAGTGAGTGAGTGAGTGAGTGAGAGAGAGAGAGAGAGAGAGAGAGAGTGGTTTACGCTGCTTTTAGCAATATTCAAGCAATATCACGGCGAGGGACATAGAAAGACATGCAGCACTAGTGCCACCACAGTTGGATCTCACCAAACAACATGACAAAAAGTCATTCACACAATGCAAAGGATAAAGGAGCCTTCACAAGGGAAACATAGCTTTTTCTCGCTATTTTGCATGTTAAGGAAAGGAATCTGTTTCAGTAGACGATTGAGACAATGATTTACAACAGTCATGGTGCACCTGTTTGTGGAACATCCAGCCAGGAGATACATCAGTGTACATACCTTACTGTGTGGGGTGAACAAGATGGAGTCCACCGACAGCAGAGACACAATACTCAATATCTCCTCCCTGAAACACACAGAGGACAGTCAGACAGTTGGTAGACTCATTCATTGTATGATTCTGTTTCTGGACAAATATTCCAGAGCAAATAAAACATAATATTTTAATAAAAGGTGAAATAGAAATAAAGACAATATAACAAATTCATATGATTTGTGAATAATGAATAGAATTTGCCAAGCCTAATATTATGAAACTCTCAAATATCTAGTCAATGCCAATGGTCAGTCTGTAGTAGGCAGCATCGTTGATCATAGCTATGCAGTGGCTGAGGCTGGGGGAAAACTGAACTTCTGGAGACAGTGAGTATAGTTTGACATTCATCATTGTGTCTGATCTGGATTAGTGTGGACCTGTACTGCTCGAGGGCCCCGTTTCACAAAGCTCTCGTAAGCCTAAGATCTCGTAAGCCTAATCTCGTAGGAATCGTACCTCCTATGCTGTAGCATAGACTTACAACAGCCGTAGCACTACGATAGCTTTGTGAAACGGGGCCCTGAAGCCTAATGGCATATAAAGACATGATGACTGATATACACTTGAGTTTTGCATAATCCTGCAAAATACAGATACTTGCACAAATAATCTTACTTCAAGAATAAGTGCATGGTGCAATCAGCAATATTCCAGCTTAGTCATCTCTGATTGTAAACATTCCATTCTGGGTTAATTGTTCGACAGCATGAACAAATTGCACATCACTTGGCGATAATGAAACATTCAGCCAAAATGACACAAATCATAACAAGTGTGTCTAGTGATTGCGAGGACTCATATATGTTTGGATTTTTAATTTAACTGTTTACAGATAATGATGTTATCTGTAATTATCCAGACAACAATTTCAGCACAAATGGTGATATTCTTGCTGTTTTGAAGACAAATTTTTACAGACACATGTTCTTTGCTGTTATCTAGAAAATGATATACATATATGAAAGCAATTTTAGGACTAATAACAGAGATAATCATTGATATTCTCCTGACAACTACTCACAGAGATAATCATTGATATTCTCATGACAACTACTCACAGAGATAATCATTGATATTCTGCTGACAACTACTCACAGAGATAATCATTGATATTCTGCTGACAACTACTCACAGAGATAATCATTGATATTCTCCTGACAACTACTCACAGAGATAATCATTGATATTTTCCTGACAACTACTCACAGACAGTGATATTCCTTTGCCATAAGGATGACCTTTGACAGTCGAGGTTCCAGAGGGAAGGCAGACATCTTCTTCCCAACAGGGGTTAGCTGTTAGCAAAAGTTTGCATAACATGTCAAAGAGTCAAAGAATCAATACATTCCTTATACAAAATTTGAGACATCACATTTACGGCAAATTTCAAGGCTTTTCAAAGCACTAATCATGCTTTTCACAGTTAACTTACGATTCGAGCGTGCTTTCACACTGATTATCCAAGACATTATACTGTTAAAATGATGTCATTATACAGTAATCTATGTTTATAATGAACATGCTAATCATCATTGTAATAGTCAGGTCGTAAACAATCGAGGACTTTGAATTTTTATCACGTTTCCGATATCGTGTTCATGTTTGTTAACTTCTCAAGACATGATTACATCTTATTACAAACATGTATTGTATGTAGACACAATGTATATTGTAGTTACAAGTTCATATTAATGTATTGTTTCGTAAGATTTAATGGTTATGATTCGCTCCAGAGATATGCTCGAATTGTCCCGTGATCTCCAGGCGATTACGTCATCAAAACATGTGTTGTTGATTCAGAGATTGTTTATACATTAAATCTGCTAAAATATAAATGGATATTCAAAAAGTACTTACCCAGGCGTGTTCCTGGAGGTGGTAATTGGTAAACTATATCCGTTTAATTTAATGTCACGTCTTATTTGGATGTTAGATCGCATTCTTCTCACTCTAACGTCGCTGCTACATGTATTACCGGAAGTATGATGACGTCACAAATAGCATACTCTCGTTCTAAAGCAGTTAGAGAGACAACAGACTCAACCTAAGTTGTAGTGTTTTTGGGCCGAGATATTTTTAGGAAATTTTGCATTATTAGAGTTCTATATTTGAATTAATAATAATTACAGTGCTATCACAAAATACAGTAATATTAACTTGTAACTACAATATACATTGTGTTTACATACAATACGTGTATGTAATAAGATGTAATCATGTCTTGAGAAGATAACAAACATGAACACGATCTCGAAAACGTGACAAAAATACAAAGTCCTCGATCATTTACAACCTGACTATTACAATAATAAACAGATGGATATAACATGGTGTCTTCTCTTTTGTCGTGGCCACTTACTGCATATTTTAGTCGAAATGCATAAAATTAAAATTAAAACGAACTGAAGTTGATGGTTTGTTAACTCATAAACTGTAGTTTACTGTACTGAGTGAGTGAGTGAGTGAATGAAGCCAGTATATTCCTGGAGTCTGGACCAAGCAACCCAATGACTGAGTTACAACATGCTAGGGTAGGTGGTGTTGGTAATATCCAGCCACCCTGCTGCTCATGTTGGACTAGTGGTTACATAATACAACTTGTCCCACTTTCACTGAATGGGGGTGACCTTTTGTTCCTCCGTTACACTGGTAATGTGACCTTTCAAGCAATCAGGGACTGACTGAATTGAACTTGACCTTAGTTCAAATGGCACTTGTCTACAGACAGAATTGTGACAAACATTACCTGAATTTTGGCTTTCTTCTCAATAGCCCCAAGTAAAATAAGGTTGTCTAAGGCACAGATTATTGACTGAAAACAGAAGATACAACAAACAGTTGAGCAAAGGGAGGCAACTCCTGTGAACAACATGTTAACTTCTATTTGTTTCATCTGTATGTGTAATTGTTTAAGAATGTGTCTAAATTTGTACATTGAAGATGGTTGTGACTTTTCTCAAACTTGAAGCAATTTGAATAATCAACAACATAATTAAAACAGAAAGTGAGTTTACATATTATGCATACATCAGTTGAAGGTTTATCCATGAAGTCAAACTTGATGATGTCTGAAATACCGAGAGCCAGCATCTGGAGTACAACACTGGACAGGTTACACCTGGAACAGATTGGTGTCATGTTAAACACTGGATTAGTGTCATGTTAAACACTGGATTGGTGATTGGTGTCATGTTAAACACCGGATTGGTGTCATGTTAAACACAAGATTGGTGTCATGTTAAACACTGGATTGGTGTCATGTTAAACACAAGATTGGTGTCATGTTAAACACTGGATTGGTGTCATGTTAAACACTGGATTAGTGTCATGTTAAACACTGGATTGGTGTCATGTTAAACACTGGATTGGTGTCATGTTAAACACAAGATTGGTGTCATGTTAAACACTGGATTGGTGTCATGTTAAACACAAGATTGGTGTCATGTTAAACACTGGATTGGTGTCATGTTAAACACAAGATTGGTGTCATGTTAAACACTGGATTGGTGTCATGTTAAACACTGGATTGGTGTCATGTTAAACACAAGATTGGTGTCATGTTAAACACAAGATTGGTGTCATGTTAAACACTGATTGGATTGGTGTCATGGATAAACACAAGATTGGTGTCATGTTAAACACAAGATTGGTGTCATGTTAAACACAAGATTGGTGTCATGTTAAACACTGGATTGGTGTCATGTTAAACACAAGATTGGTGTCATGTTAAACACAAGATTGGTGTCATGTTAAACACAAGATTGGTGTCATGTTAAACACTGGATTGGTGTCATGTTAAACACAAGATTGGTGTCATGTTAAACACTGGATTGGTGTCATGTTAAACACTGATGGACTGGTGTCATGTTAAACACTGGATTGGTGTCATGTTAAACACTGGATTGGTGTCATGTTAAACACAAGATTGGTGTCATGTTAAACACAAGATTGGTGTCATGTTAAACACAAGATTGGTGTCATGTTAAACACTGGATTGGTGTCATGTTAAACACAAGATTGGTGTCATGTTAAACACAAGATTGGTGTCATGTTAAACACTGGATTGGTGTCATGTTAAACACTGGATTGGTGTCATGTTAAACACTGGATTGGTGTCATGTTAAACACAAGATTGGTGTCATGTTAAACACAAGATTGGTGTCATGTTAAACACTGGATTGGTGTCATGTTAAACACAAGATTGGTGTCATGTTAAACACTGGATTGGTGTCATGTTAAACACTGGATTGGTGTCATGTTAAACACAAGATTGGTGTCATGTTAAACACTGGATTGGTGTCATGTTAAACACAAGATTGGTGTCATGTTAAACACAAGATTGGTGTCATGTTAAACACAAGATTGGTGTCATGTTAAACACTGGATTGGTGTCATGTTAAACACTGGATTGGTGTCATGTTAAACACTGGATTGGTGTCATGTTAAACACAAGATTGGTGTCATGTTAAACACTGGATTGGTGTCATGTTAAACACAAGATTGGTGTCATGTTAAACACAAGATCGGTGTCATGTTAAACACAAGATTGGTGTCATGTTAAACACTGGATCGGTGTCGTTAAACAACCGGATTGGTGTCATGTTAAACACAAGATCGGTGTCATGTTAAACACAAGATTGGTGTCATGTTAAACACAAGATTGGTGTCATGTTAAACACAAGATTGGTGTCATGTTAAACACAAGATTGGTGTCATGTTAAACACTGGATTGGTGTCATGTTAAACACAAGATTGGTGTCATGTTAAACACAAGATTGGTGTCATGTTAAACACTGGATTGGTGTCATGTTAAACACAGGATTGGTGTCATGTTAAACACAGGATTGGTGTCATGTTAAACACAAGATTGGTGTCATGTTAAACACAGGATTGGTGTCATGTTAAACACTTAGTTTGATTGTTTGTTGTTAAATCCACACTCTGCAAAACTCCAGCTGTATGGCAGAGGTCTGTTAATAATGGAGTCTGGACCAGACAATACTGTGATTAACATCATGAGCTTCGATCTATGCAATTGGTATACGATGACATTTGTCATCCAAGTCAGGGAGCCTGACCAACTGATCCTGTTAGACACCTCTTACATGGGTGCTGAAGACCAATTCTAACACGGCTCTTCATAGGACAGGTAACATATGGTTGAGACCAGTGTCATGTTAAACTGTTTTGTCAATCAATAAAAACAGTACAGGTATGAAAACAATGTTTGGAAACTACCATTACTGTTACATCTACCTCTGGATCTCTGGTACTGTGTTGTCTTTCAGGGACTCGAACTGTTTTTCTGTGAAGATGCGGTAGCACGACCCCGCAGCCTCTCGACCAGCCCGCCCTGTTCTCTGTAGTGCCTGTGCCTTAGACACCCGCACCACCCTCAGCAGATCCAGGCCGCTGCTGGGGTTGAACACTCTGAAGCAACAAAGCACTAGCACAACATTCATACACATTATCAGCTATAACATGTAATGCCTTGCTAGGGCATAGTCAAGGCCCAATAAATAATTCTAAGGTTCTATAGAAACAAATATAAAACAAAAGCAGTTGAACATACAAGAGGTGGGCCCAACCATCAAAGGGAAATAACTCTTAGCTGTGATGGGATTACTAACATACCCCGGTACATTATCACTGCAAGCTATTTTGTTATGCATCAGTTTTCTGTAACATCCTAACTTGACAAGTTTTGCTAAATTTAGGGCTTTTCCAGGAACAAATCACTGGCTATAAGGGCCTTTTCAAGGATAAAACCAATTTAGGGTCTTTTCAGGGTAAAACATTCAAATTTCAGGCATTTCATGAATGAATGCATGATAATTGATTTGTATAGCGCCTGGTTTCCAGATTAAACATGACTGCTCAACAGCGCTTGTTGAAGTGGGCGGAAAAAAGATATGTCTTCAGATGAGTTAGAAAAGAGTCTTTTGTTTGACAATTTCTGATTTCCAGTGGTAGAGCATTCCACAGTTTTGGAGCTGCAAAGCATAGAGCCACTTCATCCATCTTTGTTTTAGGTTTAGGAACATGAAGTAGTTTATCATAGGCTGATCTTAAAGCTCTTGTGGGTTGGTAGTGATGTAACATGTCCTTAATATAAGATGGGGAGTTTTCATCATTTAGTGCTGAATACGTGATAGAAAGAGTCTTGAAAGTGATGCGGTGCTCTACGGGTAGCTAGTGGAGTGATTTCAGGACAGGGGTGATATGGTCAGTTCTCTTGCTACCAGTCAGCACCCTCGCAACACTGTTCTGCACTTGTTGCAGTAATTTGATGTTAGCGGTAGTAGTCCCATTTAGGAGGGCATTTCCATAGTCAAGACGTGACACAGGCATGGATAACTGTCCTTAGACTGTCATTGTCTTTTCATGCCAATGTGAACCCTCTCGCATTAGTTACTGCAGGCCTATTCAGCCCTGGAATCCCAGTGAGAGCAAGGCTACTATACATCATAACATAATTCCTAATATTATCATCACAACATCGATATCTCTGTGACCAAGAGAATACTAATCCATATTTCTCCAACTTGTAAACTAATACTGTCTTCACAGTTTGACTTACTTGGCTTTCACCATTCCACAATCGATGACAAACTTCACCCCATGGATGGTGACTGATGTCTCAGCAATATTAGTGGATACAATCACTTTTCTTGAGCCCTGTTGAAAAAAAAGTGGCAATAATATCTGCTTCTGGATCATATACTACTCACACTTTGCTAAGGATCTTTACTTCAACATAGACTTATAATTTGAAATTGTATCCATTTAAAGCTGGATAAATAATGACATGGTAACACCTCTTTAGGCAAACAGCCACTTTAATCTAACCGTATGCACTTGATACATGAGTAACCATACAAATGGTTTTCATGGCACCAATCAACCATTTTGCAGATCATGGAACGAGTCATTGACAAGTACACAACACCTGTCAATAGCAGGTATGGGATCCACAAGATGCAGTGACATACTGAAACCTAGGATCCATGCTTACAATAAGCTTAGATATTTAAACCAAATTAGATCCCACATCATAGTTTTCTGTTGAATCAATGATTTGATCCTCAGCAAAGTGTGAATAGTATAATTAGCGAAAGTGTGAATAGTATAATTCAGACAATAATTACAGAGAAAATAGTATAACCAAGATCTTCAAGATATCAGAGCTCTTTTGGGGAATAAGTGAACCTACCTGACCAAAAGACAGAATGAACACAACAAAATTCAGATATTTTAGAAGAAGTTATAAGCTTTGAAAGAGACAAATTGGGGCATGATCCTTTCTTGTCTGCATGTCTGACCATTCAGATAGGATATGTTTATTACACTAACATTTGTTTGTTTGTTAATGCTGCACTCAGTAATACTCCAGCCATATGGCAGCAGTCTGTAAATAATCAAGTCTGGATCAAACAATCCAGTGATCAACAGCATGAGCATAGATCCACGTAATTGTGATATAATGACATGTGTCAAAAAGTCAGTGAGCCTGACCACCTTTAACAACAAGTATAGGAGTGAGTGAGTGAATTTAGTTTTAAGCCACACTCAGCAATATTCCAGCTATATGGCGGTGGTCTGTAAATAATCGAGTCTGGACCAGACAATCCAGGGATCACCAGCATAAGCATCGATCTACGCAATTGAGATATGATGACCTGTGTCAACCAAGTCAGCGAGCCTGACCACCCGATCACCTCTTATGACAAGCATGGGTTCATGAAGATCAATTCTAACCCATATCGTCACGGGTCTGACAAGTATAGGGTGCTGAAGACCAATTCTAACCTGGATCTTCACAGGTCTATTATACTAACAGTTACAATAAGCACCCTCACAGTTAGATACAGACAAAGACAAAATGAGGACAACCATGGAAAAAAAAACTTATTTCCAGCACTTGTTTACTCAAAATTATTGCCACCTGAAGTCACACAATTACATCACAACACAACAAAATATTCACACATACAAAATAAAAAAAGAATGAACTCTAAGGATTCTTTTGAACCATGTGTCTCACAAGAAACTGGAAATATCTCATGGAATTCAAAGGGGGACGACTCAGTAATTCTGCAATATGTGGGTCACTAGAAAATATGGCTGAAAATTTATCATCAAATGGAAGCTTACTTTGGGTGTTGGCTGGAAAACTTTGAGCTGTTGAGGTGCTGGCAGCGCTGCATACAAAGGGCAGACAACCAGAGGTGGGGCCTCGCCAACCATGTCCCGTGAGATGTCGTGTATTGACTTAACAGTAGACTCGATCTCTTCTTGACCCGTCAAGAACATCAGAACATCCTCACTAAATGGTGAAAAGAGAGAGCAGAAAAGAATGTGTAAGGAATCTTCAAAACAATACCAGAAATTATCAAAGTTTTCAGAAATTGGGTTTGCCTGCTATCTCAAATTTTTATGATGAGCACAGCTTTTGCACTTATTTCCAAAAGTAAACAATAACACCTTAAACTGGACATATAATTGTTAGTTTGAATAAAACCTGGAATTTATTCATCAAACATGTGAGAAGAGAATAAATTTACAACTAAGCTACCACACCCTACTATTGTCAGAAAGAAACAATATTTAATTGAAAGATTTCATTTTGAATTTTATATAAGGCCAGACCAATTTTATTTCTTGTTTACGGATCCGCCGGTCATAGTTTTTCAAGAATAAGAACAAAAATTTAACTTAATTTTCCCAGCTCAAAAAGTAAAATCCTAATGTTTTGGCGGTTTTATTGGTGAAAAATGTAATTTTCTGAATAAAATTGATATTTTATACTTATCCTGACTCATGCTTATTATGCTTGTCTCCTCCTTCTATGCGAATGATAGTGGAACACTTGAAATCCCTTGTAGTTCCCTTTAAAGCGGACGTAAAAGTACACTAACCAACGAGTTGCCTCCCTTGCATAGTTTCCCGCCAAAACAGTCACATGACTAACCATGCTTGTCACTCTCTCCGCAATATGCCCGACACATGGATTTACCGTGATATCCGAAGTGCCATCAGTGGGGAGGTTGGGAGGGCTTGACATCATGAGTCAGGATAAGTATAAAATATCAATTTTATTCAGAAAATTACATATTTTTCCTTATCCTGACTCATACTTATTATGCTTCCAGAATCCGACAGATTGGTGGTGCGCCAGGTCACCTTCTCGGATTTATTGGCTGTCCTAGATACGTCCTGTATCTACCCCCATGGGAACTATCATACGGCACTTCTTGACAATCCTGTTCTTCCAACTTCCATCTGCCAACTCGGGGGTACCACATCTTGTCAGACTTCTTTAAGACAAGCGAATCTACGATTCATGTGGATTAAAGATATACTAGTTTATCCTTACTAGATATCTATAACAACTCATATAAGAAGTATCTTCTTATCGTAAGAGTTGCGACCCTTTTCGCGTACGAGTACTTCCGTATAAGTACAGGGTCTAAATCACTCATGTTAGTCTGTTCTAGACGTAAACATGGACTCTCAACCAAGACTCTCCAGAGCGAAGGTTATCAGCAAGTCACGTGATAAGAGGGTGAGACTTCCAATTCAAGCCTTTGTGGAACTGTTAGTTGTTGTGCAACAACAAGTGGCCCAAACTGGTGAATGCCAGGAAGGTCTTCGGTGGCAATGTCTCTCAGGTAGTGGTTGGCAAACACCGTATCAGATTTCCAAAAGTAACCCTCCATTATTGATGCTATCGAGCAATTCCCATGCAGAGCGAGAGTAGACGCCAAAGCTCTGACTTCGTGTGGGTTGGATGCACTCGGAGGTGGCAGTCCTGTTGCTTTGTAGGCCCTTAGTATAACAGCTCTCATCCATATGGATATTGTTGTTCTGGAGACTTCTGTGGATGTCTCTGTAGACAACGGGATGAACAGGCGCTTGAACTTCTGTCTCCTTGTTCTTGTCCGGTTAAGGTAAATTTTCAATGCTCTGACCAGGCATAGAGATAAATCCTGCACATCCTCCTGTCGGAGGATTGTTGATAATGCTGGTACATGGAACTGTCTATCTGGTTGACCAGGTAGCTGATTCTTTGCCACAAAATCCCATCTAAGTCCTAAATGTGCTACCGCACGATGTCCTGTGTTGAACCAAGTTCGTCAAAAATCCAGCGCATATATCTCTGATACTCGAGCTGCCGTGGCTAAGGCGAGTAGAAACAGCGTTTTCTGCGTAAGTAGTTCGAGTGACGTTTGCTCTAACGGTTCGTAGGTATCACTGCTGAGATGTTGTAGTACTACACTGAGATCTCACGCAGGTGCCTTGAATTTCTTTTGCTGATCCTCTAGCTTAAAAGAACGTAGTAAGGCCAGTAGTTCTGGTACTTTCGTCAATTTGCTGCCTGTCTTCATGTGTCAGTACTGTGCTAATAGCCGCCAAGTACGTAGACAAGGTCGAACCTATCAATATCTTAGTCTGTCGTAGATGATATAAGTAATCCGCCACTTGAGGATGAGATGTTTTCATTGCTGTGAAACCCTTGCGCCGAGCATATTGTTGAAACCTCTGCCATTTATCATCATACAGGTTGCGAGTAGATCTGCGAAGAGCTAGAGTGACCGCTTTCGCTGCTCTGGCGGAATAACCTCTCTTCCTCAAGCAAGTTTTGATACTGTCCATGCGTGAAGCTGGAACACTGCCGGATTCCCGTGCACTTGCTTGGTGTGCGGATGAACCAGTAGGTTCGGCCATTCTGGTAGTTTCAGGGTTGGCTTTCCTAGTTCTTGAATGAGATCTGGAAACCACACTCTCGCTGGCCAAAAGGGCGCGACCAAAATCAGTTGGAGGACTGTAGTCTCCCTGATTTTCTCGAGTACTTGCCGGATTAGAACCGGCGGTGGAAACGCGTCAGCGTTTACTCCTTCCCACAACATTTTCAATGCATCTGTTGTCCATGCTAGCGGATCTGGTACCGATGAGACGGACATCTGTATCTGTCTGTTGAACCTTGTGGCGAACAGATCTATAAGTGGAGATCCTAGCGTCCTTATGATGAGACGAAACGCCTCCGGATGAAGCATCCATTCTGTCGGGGATGGTTGCTGTGGCCGAGACAGAGCATCTGCCTGCTAGGATGTTCTTTGCTCCGGGAATGTGACACGCCTGTATCCAGATGTTCAGCTTGTCCACAATGTCGAACAGATGAAATATGAGATGTAGCAGACTTGCTGATCTTGTTGAGCCTTGTCTGTTGATGTAAACTGCCACTGTGGAGTTGTCCGTGTGCACTGTCAATACTTTGTTGATCAGAGACTTCGACCAATGTTGTAAGGCGTTGATGACTGCTTTCATCTCTAGTTGATTGATGTGCAGATGTCGTTCCCTTGCCGACCACTTTCCTGCAGCTACCTTGCTCTCGAGGTGTGCTCCCCATCCTTGCAGAGACGCATCCACGTACAGATGTGTGTCGCAAACCGTCTCTTCTAAATACGTTCCTCTGTAAACATTCAACTTGTGAATCCACCATGACAGGAATGGTTGTAGATTCTCTGGTAGGGTTATCAACTCTATACTGCTGAGGTAAGCGTTCAGAAATCGCTGCAATGGACGTAGTTGTAATCTTCCTCTGCGAGTTAAGTCCTGCGCTGAAGTGAGTAGACCCAAAAGGCCCTGCCATGTTCGGAGATTCAACGGAGAGATGACTGCTTGCGGGATCATGGCTTGTATCTTGATCCAACGATCTTCTGGGACTATGATGCGATTTTCTGTTGTGACGAACCTTATCCCTAGGAATTTTCGATCCTGTGTGGGTTTCAATTCCAATTTCTGTAGATTTACTAGCCAACCCAGTTGCGTTAGTAGTCTGATGGTGAAGTCCAGTTGTAGCTTGAGCTGACTGGCTTCCTGATGAGCTTGAATACCGTCGTCCAGGTAAAAAGCACTGCGTAGACCTTGATGATGTAGAAAGGCGACTATTGGCTTGGTTACTCATGCAAACAACCATGGGGCCGAAGATATTCCAAAAGGCAGGACTTTCCACTGGAAATGTCGACCTTGGAACAGGAATCGCACATACTTTCTTGAGTCCTGATGTTTGGGGATGTGTAGGTACGCATCCTGCAGGTCTATGCTGGCTAGATAATCTGTTGGACGAATAAGACGCCGTAGTTGAGGAAGATGGATCATCTTGAACTTCTCGGGTTTGAGGAGGTAATCTAGGTTGAACTTCTTCATGTTGTAGATCAGCCTGAACTTCTCCTTGGAATTCTTCTTGGGTACCAGGAAAAGTGGGGAATAAAATCAAGGCGTTAGACGATCTTGATCTAGTATCTCGACAGCATCCTTTTCCAGCAGGGTGTTGATGGCCTCTCCCAGCTTCTCTGCTTGCTCGTCTGCGTACTTGAAGATGAGCGGCCTGTCGGTCAATAGAGGCGTGGCATTCAGTTGAACTCTGTAACCTTCTCGAAGGATCTGTGATACGTAGTCGTCCTGTAGTATTCCCCAATTTTCCCAGTAACGTTGCAGACGTCCACCCACTGTCGATGGTTGTACAGGAACGGCTGGGGGTGGAAGACTCCAGTCGTTCCGAACCCCATCTTCAACGTCTCAATTCCCTGGAACCTCTGGGGGTGCGTCCTCGCCCCGAGGCATTCCTGGTATTCCCGGCGTTCTGCGACTTTGTTGCTTTCTCGAAGGCTAAACTGTGGCTTGCCAGGACTCCTACGATCGGCTCAATAGGCGGGATCGTTAGCGAATCAAAGTCATCATCAACCATTCTGTAAGTGAGTGCTTCATTCCGTTCCTTGGATGGAGACGCTAAGTTGAGACCATGCGCGATCCATGAAGTAACCTCTGCATCGGAGAAGATCCCATCGCTCTCTTCATCTCTGTCTGACGAACTGTGTCTTCGCGAATCCCTTCGCGCTTGCTCCAATCGCGAGTCCTTCCTAGGATCCTCCTTTCGCGAATGATCCTTTCACGAATACTCATCACGGCTGGAATCTCGTGTTCGCGAACGATCCTCCCTGTAGGCTGGTGAAGTAGATCTATGACTGTAAGATCTGCTTGATACTGACGTGGTGCGTTCGCGCCTCGGAGGAGATTCCCTGGAGATGGAACGGCGATGTTCTCGAACTGTATCCTCCTCATTAACATTCACGGATCCCATTCGACTGCAGAATGTTGAATCCTCAGTAGGTGAAGACCTTCTCGAACGCTGGTGATCCTTTGTCGTGACTGCATTCGTCAAATGATGATCCGCGACTGCTGTGTTCGCCGACTGATGATCCACGAGTGCTGCATCCTGTGGAGTGGATTCCATTCTGGGTACTGCTATCCCCGAAGCGTGCTGTAACCTCTTCTCTTCGGTGAACCTCTGTTCCATCAAGGACAGCATCTGTTGGGTGAATTTCTTCATAAATGCACCCTGGTCAAAGTTCTGCACTGACTGATGTGGAGTAGACAACGCATCCGAGAACGTGGACTCATCTTCCAGTCTGCGTTGTGAACGAGTGAAGAAACGCTGATGTTCTCTCTGGCACCCGATGTCTGCGAAGCTGAATGACAATCTCTAATCATCTGTTGCGCTGATGAAGGGGCTGAAGACGTAGATCTGGCCGACAACGGCTGCTGCAACACTTTGCTGACTAAGGTAACTTCTGGCAGCAAAATCGGCGGGTCGTCGAAGATGTCTGCCTCTGCCGGGGGGACAATATCTTCGTTGAATGACGTCTGAAGAGCAGGTCTAGTAGAACTGGAAGACTTCGAAGACGATTTCGACGCAGACATCTTCTTCTTCTGTGAACTCACAGATGACGACTTGTGCTTCTTAGACTGATGAAGCCAACTCTGTTGATGCTGCCCTCTTGCTTGAAACCGAAGCCTGCCCCTGTGACAAACCCGGCAAATCACTAGAAACTTTAGTTTCATTTGCAGATGACACTACACGGTTACTGACGTTTTATCCGCCATGCCTTGTGATAACCTCGGCACCTTGTCCTTAGTACGTCTAAAAAAGGCCAACAAATAATTATTAAATTGCAATGTAGATAAATTTATACAATATTGACAGTGAGAGCTGGAAGAGCATTGATTAGTACAAGAAGGACAAAGGGGGTGTGGATCACCCGCAGACAGCCGGTGCCTGCAAAGAGAACACGATTTCATCAAATGTAAACAACAAATACATGTGATGAAAACAACAATATTTACGTAAATTTGGACATAATTCCTATATACACTGAATAATAATACAGACCGAAAACCCTATACAGCTAAATGTGGGCTAAAGGGTCGAAATATAAAAGGATATAGTGCCGCATAGGAACTCCCAAGTTCCCACAACCATCCACCAGGGCGATGGAGGAGAGAGTGACAAGCATTGTTAGTCATGTGACTGTTTTGGCGGGAAACTATGCAAGGGAGGCAACTCGTGGGTGAGTGTACTTTTACGTCCGCTTCAAAGGGAACTACAAGGGATTTCAAGTGTTCCACTATCATTCGCATAGAAGGAGGAGACAAGCATAATAAGCACGAGTCAGGATAAGGAAAAATATGTAAATGTACACAATAAGTTTTTCTTCAGATTGTGTTTTGCCCCATATACACTTTATAAATTGACAAAGATAAAATACTCTTAGTATGTATTTATACTTGAAGATAAGGTTATGGTCACCCAAATTGATTTGTGACTGTGTAATCCCCCAATGCAGGCTGTCACCAAATTTGAAGACATTAGGTCCAACTGTTCATGACATAGTGCTTTAACAAGAATCAGGACGTACTGACGGACGGACGGATGCTGCTGAATACATACTCCCCACAAGATAATGTGACGAGAAGCCAATGTGAGATTTAAATCTACAACAGAATGGAAGGGTCTTTAATAACATTAAGACAATGGTCAAAACAAAGGAGCATCCAAGTGAACGTCAAATTCTTAGCCTGATATTTTATATACAAAGTATTAAATGGTGAGGTGAGGTGAGGTGAAATTGGGTTTAACGTCGTGCTTGAGAATATTTTGCTCATATGACGATGTGCATGCGTGTGTATGTGTATGTGCGGCTGCTTGTACTAGCCCAGACTTAAGCTGGTTTTATAGTGCTAGCCCACTGAGATACCATGCCGCAGTGGAGCATGAATACCCCACTCAGACACATTATACTGACTCCGAGCCGACCAGTCCTTGATGTACCCATTAATGCCGAGCGCCAGGCAGGGACCAACAAGTACCATATTTTAACGTCTTTTGGTATGATGCAGTCGGGGATCGAACCCACGACCTTCCGCTCTCCGGGCGGACGCTCTAACCACTACACCAAGGAGGCGGGCTCTAACCACTACACCAAGGGGGCGGTCTATTAAATGGTAAGGCCTGTTAATGTGTCTCACCCTGTGGGCTGCTCCCTGTGGATCTGGAAGAGCGTGACAAGGGAGGTAAACAGGTAGTCACTCTGAGGCTCACAGCAGTACAACACCTAAAGACAAGCAGAAAGATATAGGGCTGTTATGAACCATTCGCACATTTGGTGAATTGAACCATATCTCTTCATGAATTCAATTCCTTATTTGTGATCACTAGATTCGAATATTTATGAACATTTTAAAAAGGAGAGTTTTCCTTGAAATGGGGTGTAGAAAGGGGTATTAGCGTACGTTATCACATATTAGTGCATGCTATCACAATGGGACATTTTAGACTAATTTCCATTCCTACAAATGGTATGTAATATGACAGTCGATAATGTAACTTTGAGTTGCATGATGCACAAGTTCTTCTTATCTAACAACTTGTTTATTACAAGACATGGGTACACCTACAGAATACGGATATTTATTCACCATATTTGTGTGAAGGATAACCATTTTAAAGGTAAGTGTTGAAGCTATAAATATACAGAAACATATGACCCTGCTTGCATTTGAATAATATGCTTAAACCTCAAAATTGAATATCAAAGCAAATCATACACATAGAAACTTGGACATCAACATAGAAACATTACCTGAAAACTAAAGTCCCATTGTGGCCTGACCAGTACCATTTATTGTGTACACACCACTACAACACAGTTTACTGCAGATGTGAGGATTGTCTATTCTCTTATGATGTGCTTCAGTAGCAAATGCTTTACAGGCAAAGTATATAAAATGGCACTGCAGGGGTGGAAATAACTTTAAAATTGCTAGTGTACTCCGGTACAGTGGAACATGTGAAATCACTTGCCCTGATAATTTTTTCACTATACGGCTGTTTTCTTGTTGATTTTTTAAATAAACAACATAATTAACATTGGAAAGTCAACTGGACGCCGGTACACTAGTGTGATATACAAATTTGCTTGCCCGACAGAAAAAAACACTGGACTCGGACGTCGGGCAATGGGTTATTTCCACCCCTGCACTGATTTTGAAAGATTCAGCATTATAGGCTTGATCATGCTAAAGACGGTGATCTATGTACCCAGTAGTAGCATTTTTCAGTAACTTTGGTAACTAAAAATAGCATTTACTTAAGATGGCATTTGTTTCAAGTGGTTGTGTCTGGGGCTAGCAATGGTGATCCCATTATTTCAGTGATCCCATTATTTCAGTGATCCCATTATTTCAGTGATCTCATTATTTCAGTGATCCCAGTGATCCCATTATTTCAGTGATCCCATTATTTTCAATATGGCAGAGAAAAGAATACGAAACTGTTGCTAAGGAAGGAGCTTGTGCACATCTTTACTAATAAGCCTAAAGGTATCCGGTATTCTGTATTGTAACCCAAATGAAGTGATCTTTCAGTGCATGTTCTAACACCTTCATCACACATGAGGAAGAAACTCTTTATCTGTGAGAATTTGTCCTTGTTGAGTCAGTATTGCTGTCACTTATGGAACATATCCACTTAATGTCAATAACTACCTCTACAAGAGTACTTGTGACCTAATACCCCTCAATTCTAAATGGTATAACAGGGAGTATCTACACACAATACGTAATAATATTACATAACTATTGACTGCCTACAACCAAAGTAGACCATCCTTTCACTAGCCGCTCTCTTGAAACACACCCATCATTCTTCAGTATAGTAAGCTGTGTAAGCTTCAAAACACATCCAACCATTTACATATATATGCTTTGTTATGGAATGAAGTATATTCAACTCTAAAATCCGAAGCTATCATTCAAAGGGACATAACTCTCATTACTCAATTACTCATTATACATAGATTACTCACAGATTGTTTTCTTTAATTTGGAAAACAGTTTCAACAATAACAAATCAAACTCCATAAGCAGTTTTCGATGGGAATTCTGATGGGAATTATAAGGAAGGGTTCAAGACATTTCTAGACATATTTTCCATCTTCCAAGTCCTTTTGAAGGTAGAATCTATATTCAAGGCAATTTATGAACAGTGCAACCCAGTCATTAATTACAAAGGATGGTACTGGCTAAATATGCCCATTCACTTGACCATGTGCTGAGATACTCGTTACTATATGTGTACCTGGACTGGAAACTGTCGACCCTCCAGGTACAGAACAGGTGCTTGGTTGAAGTAAGCAGAGAAGTGGTCCACGTCCATAGTGGCTGACATCACAATTATCTGAAAACCAAATCAATGGAGCTGCTTTGGTCAACTTACAGATATTATTTTTGCATATAATCTAGGGTTACACATACAACCATTCTTCTACTGTAGTGAGTGAATTTTGTTTAACGCCAGTCACAAATATTCCATGAATATCACAGGCAGCCCTTAAATAACTGAATAACATGTGCGAGAACAGAATGTGACTGATGAGCATGAGCAGTGATCTAAACTGTCAGCAAGTCTGACTGCCCAGTCCCTCATTAGTCAATTCTGACTGACTGAGTTTTGGATGACTAATATTTGAACATAAACGCTGGAGTCTTCAAAAATATTCCAGACAACATCAAGTGCAGGGGACACCAGAAATAAACAAGTTTTCACAAAACTTTGTACCCATGTGGGTTTCAAAGATTCGAACCAGGGTCGTTTGTGTTTGAGCGAAAAGTAGCGCTTTAACCACTAGGCTACCCCAATGCCCAGTCAATTTCTGAGGGACAGCTAATCTAAACTGTCAGCATGTCTGGCTGGTCCTGGATTAGTCAATGGACTACCTCTATGAATACCAATGGACACATTTGTATGAAGAAAAATCTGGGGCCCAACACATAAAAGTCTACTCAGATCAACAGAGTTTGTTTGTTTTGTTTTTTTCATCAAAGACCAAGGATTCAATGAGTGAAGACCATGGATACAATGTGCAAAGATAATTTTTGGTGACCCAAGTAACGGACATTACTGTATTAATGCTAAAGACGAAAAAGACTCACAGACACTCACAAACTATGACTATAATATAGGTATGGTTAATACCATTCAGGGGTGGAAATAACCCATTGCCTGACGCCCCAGTCCAGTGGTTTTTTCTGTCGGGCAAGCAAATTTGTATATCACACTGTACCAGTGTCCAGTTGACTTTCCAATATTAATTATGTTGTTTATTTAAAAAATCAACAAGAAAACGACCGGTATAGTGGAAAAATTATCAGGGGAAGTGATTTTACATGTGCCACTGTACTGGAGTACACTAGCAATCTTAAAGTTATTTCCACCCCTGAACAACCTACCTTCAATGGCTTCAACCCCTTCTTCTTTCTGTCTCTCTGAGCAGCTTTCACCACACCAAACAATACATCTGTGTGTATTGTTCTCTCATGAGCTTCGTCCAGGATCACAACAGTGTACCTGACCAATCAAACCACATACATATTAGACAGGGAGAGAACAGACTAGGGCGGATCCAGATTGGGGTGGAGTGTGCGCACTCCCCATTCTCCCTTGAAAAAAACTTTCCCTGAGGAGCATTTCCCCCTAACCTTTGGACTTCATGATTTATGTGCACCCCTCTTCTCAGAAAATCCTGGATCCACCTCTACAGATTAATGCTACATGCAAATATTCAGTGACACTATTGTATGTATGTCAGTATGAAACCCCTGGATGTCTAGTGCAACAAACAAACAGTTTGGATATGAAGTACATAAATAACAACAAAAAGACACAACATGTTGTCAGTTAACATTTCACACAGTCCACCACTCCAAATAGGACTTACTGACTGAGTTTGGTTTTACGCCGCTTTTAGCAATACTCCAGCAACATCACGGTGGGGGACACCAGAAATGGGCTTCACACATTGTACCCATGTGGGGATTCGAACCCGGGTCTTCGGCGTGACAAGCCAACACTTTTAACCACTAGGCTACCCCACCGCCCCTCCAAATAGAAATTGATAGAGATCTAGTTGAACATTACATAGGACATACATCTACTGGGCCCGGTTTCATTTCGAAATATGCATAAACAAACTTCTAAGATCAAATGTTTTTCTCTAAACTGGTTACCTGTTCATGAGTGGATCCAAGATGGCCTCTCTCAGAAGCATACCATCAGTCATGTACTTGATTTTCGTGCTATCTGTCGTCATATCATCAAACCTGACACAATAGCCTACCTATTGGGCAGAGGGAAGATATACATCAGTGTAGGTCAGAAACAGATGCGACAAATGTCTCCAGAGATATGACTGACTGAGTTTGGTCTTACGCCACTTTTAGCAATATTCCAGCAACATCACAGCGGAGGACACCAGAAATGGGGGGATTCGAACCCGGGTCTTCGGCGTGACGAGCCAACGCTTTAACCACTAGGCTACCCCACCGCCCCTCCAGGGATATGAACATACAGTAGGTGTGAGACCAGGGAAATATATCATAGACCATATTCTAAAGGGCTAGAAAATGTGGCTTTTTCCAAGTTATTTTGCAGACATATCCATCTTTAGCTATAACAGAGAGAAATCTGCCACTGAATGTTTTTAGTCAGCTACCAGTACTTACAATTTTCACACATAAAATGAAAGAAATATCATTATACATTATTACATTCAACATACACTGAGACAGAGGACTTCACACTTCTATATTCAACATACAGGACAGAGGATTTCCACACTTCTATATTCAACATACACTGAGACAGAGGACTTCACACTTCTATATTCAACATACACTGAGACAGAGGATTTCACACTTCTATATTCAACATACACTGAGACAGAGGATTTCACACTTCTATATTCAACATACACTGAGACTGAGGATTTCACACTTCTATATTCAACATACACTGAGACAGAGGATTTCACACTTCTATATTCAACATACACTGAGACAGAGGATTTCACACTTCTATATTCAACATACACTGAGACAGAGGATTTCACACTTCTATATTCAACATACACTGAGACAGAGGATTTCACACTTCTATATTCAACATACACTGAGACAGAGGACTTCACACTTCTATATTCAACATACACTGAGACAGAGAACTTCATACTTCTATATTCAACATACACTGTACGCACAGAGAATTTCACACTTCTAT